AAAAAAAAAAAAAAAAAAAAAAAAAAAAAAAAAAAAAAGTAGCTTCTCTTCTTTTAATCGGATGCTGTTTTCTTTCTTTCCTTGGTAGATCAATCTAAGGTAAAACTTCAAAAGTTTAGTGCATTGTAGATAGTCCCCACTTTTTAAATTTTTCCTTTTAGACTTTATTATTGTATATATAGGCATGAAATGAAATTCTTTAGGTCTCTACTTGGATGTTTCTTAGTCCTTTCCGCAACTGTTTCGAGTCAAAAAGCAGTTATAATTAAGCGTCAATGCTATGCTATTGTCTTTATTTACGTTTTCTTTCTCTATTTCTTCGGCAACACGTCAAAAAAAAGAAGAAAAACCATTCTCTTCTACCTTGCATATCTTCCAAAGTTGCAGTGTGTTCTTGGAACTTTGTTTTGCTCACCGATATATGTTCTTGGTACCTTTCTTTCTTTCTTTATCGCTTTCTTGCAATTCTGCTTTGTCATCCTGTTTATTATTTGATAGCCAGATGTTGTTGCAAACTTGCAAGAACTCATGTTATTTACTGTTTTATGATATATTTTGGTGTTTCTGAAAAAAAATGTTTGCTTGTTTGGAATTTTTGCCAATAGTACGCTCCATTTGTTTATTAATTCAATTTTCTGCGATCAATTGCTGGGTTTTTCGTTTGTTTCAGCAACCAAACTTCTGTTTTTTTTTTTTAAAAAAAAAAATCTTGCTAAGACATTTTTAATGTAATTTGATTTTTTTATCATAATAAAATTATAATTCTGTTGCTTAAATATTTTTATGATGATGATGAAAAAGAGGAATATTAGAAGAAATGAAACACATTTTATAGTTAGATTTTATTCCATTATGAAACCCATTTTTATATGTTTATATTTTCAAATTTCATTTATTGTAAAATTACATTCAATGTTCTTATATACAAAATTGGTTTTTTTTTGGTGTACAAAAATCATTTTTTTAAAAGTGTAAAAAAATGGGTTTTTAACCTTTTATTTTATTTTTGGGTATCCCCATGATGTTATTGATGGACAAACATAATTTGGGTACCTTACCCTGCAGCTTTTTGCTGACTTCGAAATAGAATCTCTGAAAGCACTAACTCTTTTCTAGTTTGTCTTAGACTGCCATGTTATTTCTTGGGGAACAAGAGACCTTGGGAATGGGGTTGCATTTGACATACTAAATAAACAATCCATTTTTCAGGGTAGTAAACGAAGTTTCTTCTAATTTCAGTTTTTTTATGACCAGAATTGAAGAATAATGTAGTAATATTGGTCATTCTCATTTCCGCCTATTTCTTCAAGCACACCATGCATACACTTGAAGGTCACTTGCAAAGTGATTCCTATCCATAGCTGCAAGCTGCATCATTTTGTGAAGATTAATAGTTTATTAACAATATGTACATTTTAATGCAATCCTTAACTGTTAGTATTAAGTTATATTTGTTTTTACTAGCTTGTTTTATATATAATTCCATTACGTCATTTGTATCCTTTGGTGTTTATATTTGCAGAGTTCATTTGTACAGTAGAGGATTCTATAACCCTTGGGAGCTAAGTATATTAAGATTGTTTTCATCTATACAGCGATTATAGTGTTACAGTGTTACTTGTGTCATTAATTTACTTGAGTACAAAAGATACATAGGATGGAACCCCTAAGAGAGCAGAGAAAAAAAGTAGTTGCTGACATACCAAACGAAGGTATAGAAACTGCTATGAATACTGAGTCAGCTGAATTAGATGAAGCAAACAGTGACAAACAAGTTTCTTGTAGTGAAGAAATGAGAAAATTATCTGTTTTTACCATAGATGAAGAGGATAGGGAAAAGGCTCTGCGAATTTCTTCAGTTGGACGACCAATCGTTTGTTTGAAGAAAAAGCTTATTGTTCTTGATGTAAATGGGCTGCTTGTGGACATAGTTTCTTCCCCTCCAAAGTATCGCAAACCTGATGCAACCATAAGAAGGCGAGCAAGTGAGAAACAACTATTTTAAAACATGTTTATAAACTTCTTCAGAAAAAAAATATGAAATAAACTTTTTTATAAACTAAAATTAGTTTATACAAATTAGTTAATGTATAAGTTAATTTTAATTTTGAAAAAAAAAATATTTTACTTTTTTATTCTTTTTTTAGAAGTAATCATAGATCATTTTATTAAAAATAATACTCTTATTTTACTTTTCTATACTAAGAGAGTAAGAGGTGCTTTGTGACCTTTCCCCCGGCCTCACAATGGTTGCAACCACGTGCATTGGGCCATCCTTTTTATGCATTCTTTACTAATTGGGCTATGTTTCATTTCAGTATTCAAGAGGCCTTTTTATCTTGAGTTCCTGAACTTCTGCTTAGAGAAATTTGAAGTGGGTGTTTGGTCTTCGAGAACCAAGTATTCTTCTGCCATCTTTTCTAAAATGTCACTTAAAAATTGTCTACATTTTAGTGGCTACCCCATTTTCCTATGTGGACCCTTCATATTACAAGCAATTAGCTGTGGCGTATTAATTTCAAGGTGTTATTTTTTTGTAGGAAAAATATCGATAGTATCATTGATTATTTGATGGGAAACATGAAACAAAGATTGCTATTTTGTTGGGTAAGTATTTTACCTGTTATCTCTTAATTGACTGTGTTATACTACTATATGTTATATGTTACTCTTTTTGTTCCTCATTTTCAAATCATTTGTTCTCTATAGTAAATTTCGTATAAATCATATATGTGCAGTCTTGTGATATTTTGTCTGACTATTTTAAGTAATAGCTAACATTGATTTTAGTATTTTTTCTTGTTTCTGTATGTACTTGATAGTATATTTCTTACATATTTCAATTTTAGGGACTATACAGGTTTTCAGTTGTATAATTATATTCCTTAGTGATCTTGCCAATCAGTGGAAATTAAATTTAAATATAAATTTTCTCTTTTCCCCCCTCTTTCGGATGTTTGTTTTGTACAAGGCATGATATGAGATTTCATTAACTTGCAAGCATTACACATTTATACTTATTCTGTAGTACAATTTACCATGCCAGGTATCTTATGCATATATATATATATATACTATATAGAATTTTCAGGAAATTCTGGTGCTTCTCCCTTTTTTTTTATACAATTTTTCTATTTATATTAAATAGATTGAATAAATAGATTGAATAGAAAAATTGTAAAAATGAAGGCGATATGTTATGTGTTGTCCGGTACGATTGAATCGAATAAGTCCTTATGGAATAAATATTCAGCTGCTTGTATAGCCCAAGTTTCTTTTGGATCCCAATTCCAATATGATCTCCATGCCTCGTTAGCCTATACTGCTCCTGAAATAATACCTATCGTTAAAAAGATAAAACCTAGACTAATAGTACGGTAACCCCAATGATCCAATTGTTGAATAAATTGAGATCTAAAATAATTTCTATAAGACGAAAAAAAACTTTGAGCATGTTTCCCATCTCTTCTTGAGAAACAAGCGGGCTATTTCTTTGCAAAATTGTGTTCAATTTCTTTCTTGAGTGATGTTTTTTTTTTCAACCCTTGCTTTTGATGGAGTTACCTCGAAACAATGGCCTACTTTCATCTCATTAAATGTTCTTGATTTTGATAGGATCTTTCACATTGTACCGAAACAAGTTTCAAAACTCTTGAAAACAAGTACAAGCCAGTTGTTTTCAAGGATTTGAGGAAAATTTGGGATAAGCATGATTCTAATCTTCCATGGGAAAAGGGATACTACAATGAATCAAATACATTGCTGTTGGATGATTCTCCATACAAGGCATTACTTAATCCTGTAAATAACTATTTCCTTATTTTTTCTAATTTTCATTTAAGAATATCTATATTACCAGCATATTTCTCTACTATTTACCAACTTACTCTTAAATGTTTTGATAAAATATTTTAGCCATGCAACTCGGTGTTTCCACACACATTCAAATTTCAGAGCCAGAGCGACAAATCACTAGGTATGGTACAAACTACTACAAAATGACCACTAACTTATATTTTATGGATCGTGGTTCACTGATCAGTGCATACTCCTTTTTATGATTCCCAAAGCTTTTATATGCAAAGCGTTATTAACGACATAAATGAATTATGACAGGTGCTGGAGGTGATCTGCGACAATATTTGGATGGATTGGCAAATGCTGAAAATATGGTGAAGTATGTTGAACAGCACCCATTCGGTCAAGAAGGTATCAATGAAAAAAGTCAATGTTGGAACTTCTACCTCAAAGTTCTCGATAGTCTTTCTACCTGTTAACCTGAAAAGTGGAAATAGTGTGTCTCTCGACATGGATAACAATGTTTACTGCTAGCTAAACGAGATAGTGTTTTTCCAAAGAGATAGAGACATAAAAGGCGTTTCCTTTTGTTTTTCTCATCAATAATACATCAATTTTATTTTTGTTTTTTGCATTTTTGAACCTTCTTTGAGTATATTGCAAAACTATTATAACAGCAAGCTGGCTATTGGAAGGAATATAAGAGGGTGAGACCTCAAAATTGAAGTATTGTTTATCATTGAATTTCAATGTTGTTTTTATTAGATTTTTTGTTATTTGCTACATACTCGTTGTGTGTGTATATATATATATATAGGAATGTTAGCAACACATTCATTACGCTTTTATATTATTGGTTCGTTGTTTATGAAGACAACACACTTGTTAAAGAGTGACCGTTTGCTAGGTAACTAAATTGACTTTTTAGAAGATGAACAAACAATAAAATGTGTGTTGATTTGGATTTCATTAGAAAGTAATCCATTACTTCAGCATTTTGATCATGGATTATTTGTTTTTTCTATTAATTGAACTAAATGTATAAGAGCTGAAAAAAGATATTTAAAAAATTCTAATATCTTTAATCTTGTAATTGCTTCAATGTCTGCTCCAAAATTACTTTGGTGTTATATACGTGACGTGAGGGCTCTTTAAGATTGGGCCGAGTCATTTCTGGCCTCAAAGTTTCCATGGTCCACACCTCGTGGAATGGGCCACAAACTTATTGGAAACCTTCAATCATACAATTATTAGGATGGAAGCAGGAAATTTCAAATTTAATGTCGATCAGTTCATGTCAAATGATCGTAAAGGGTATTGTTCAGTCATTTGGAAGCATGGCAGAGGATAAGTACTTGAGAAAGGAGACAAGTTTCACTGTAAACGTGAATATGATTAATGAGTCTTATGCTCCTGTTTGATGATATTTCCCTTACCATTATTATTGTGCATGTGAAAATCTTTTCAACTTTGTCAAATCTAACTAGCTAGTCCCCATTTTGTGTGACACATTCTTAGTCATTTTGGTGCAATTTTTTGAATGAATAAAAGGTGTCGATTTTCAGCTAACACTAAATGCCGAATGCTTTGAAAATTCATGATGAATTCATTGAATCGAAGTTGGTTACTGTCAAGATGACATCTGAATCCATCAACCCTAGTCATGAAAAAGGAAGAATTTAAAGGAGCTTTGACCTAATATAGTGAGCGTGATGAAAATGATACGACGAATGTAACACGTGACATCGTGAAAAATAAACAACTTTGAAAACATTGTATAACATTAAGCAGTAGTGTATAATAGTATATTTCATCTATTCTAAAATAATTTTAAATTTTTCTTTATTTTTAAAAGATTTTACTTCAATTTTTTAATTATTAACAATAATTATTTTGTAATGCGGGAAGTATATTAGTACATCGAAAATAAAATACCAAATGAAATTTAATTATTACAGAAATGCACTAAATACTATTATAGGTGTATATTAAAATTGAGTCATATTGTTCGAAAATATCTTTATAATACTTTTCGTAGAATAAGATCACTAATTCATTATCGAGTATCAACAAGGGAAACTCTGCGTTCCGCCTTATATACCTTACCATTTAATGTACCCAAATTAAAAATCAGATGTCACTGCAATTTTTTTTTTTATATATAAAATATATCAATATCTTTCATATTTTAATTTGATAATATGAAATGGTTTGTTTAAAAATAAAAACTGCTATGACGATGCAATACACTGTGATATGATGAGTACACAAGGGTTTCTTACATGGCCATCATGGTGCCAGTTTTAACTCGTAGCTGAAATTGATAGCTACCTTTGAGCACGCCTACGTACGGTTTTCCAAATCATTATCTTTGACTCTCTAACTTTGTTAGGCTCCTTTCCCATAACCATAGTACTCCACAAATTAATCAATTATATATAAATAAATAAGTGTATTTTTTTTTACCACCAATAAGAATCGAATTTAAATTCTTATAATTTATACTTTTCTAGATTGTCGTCGAAGTTCAGGTGAAGAAAAAGGTATTTTTAGATTCTTCGTCTTTACAAAGACTCGAGTCGCAGAAGTTATGTATCCTCATAAGTCTTTGATGGAGTTAGGGTGAAAAGATTTTACGTAACCATCATATATTTGAAATTCAAGATTAGGAGTCATTGTTGATTAGTTTGACACAAGTGATTCCTGAGAATGCATGGTCACTTATCTTTAACTTGAAGCAACAATAACAAGATAAAAGTAGTTATATTGTTCGGGACATGTCCCATGATACGCGAATATCATGTTAGGATAAGTCAGTTATTATCATAAGCTTAACGATAACATGATCCCTGATCTTTAATAGATAAAAGATCATTCCCAAATTATGAGGGTAGAGGGTAAAATATCCAACAAGAAGGAACGACAATAAGAGAAAAGTAGACTTTACTCATAAAGGAAGATAGGCATGCTGCTCATTTTGAGAGATACATAGACGAGAGAGTCAAATGTAAAATACTTAAGTCCTTCGGTGATAGTCCATCTTTGTTATTGGAACATGAATAAATAAGTGCATCTTTAACTCAAGAATTCAATTTAGATTCTTAATTATATTTTAGATTCAATTAAAATATTCCTTGATTTTTAATTTTAATAGTAACATTTGTAGCACAGTAAAAATCTATTAGTAATTGCTAATTTTAATAATTTAATTGTTGTTGTGGTTAATTGTTTAATAGTTGTAAAAACTCTAAGAATTAAGGAATTCTAATGAGTATAGTTGGTTAGGAATTATTTTGAGTAGAGGTCAAAGTTGATTAAATTTAGGAGAGAATATATAAGATTTTTTTTAAGACTTGAACTTCATAAGTTCATTTCTTAAGAAACCTAGGGAGAAGTTAGAGAGATGAGCTATGAGCCATTAGTGATCTTTCATCCTTTTGACTCCATAGCAGACTTTGATTCTTCCCTGAGAGCGAAGTTGAGTTGTGGTATTGTGATTCAAAGCTTAAAGAGTTGGGGATCGAAGTGTTGGTGTTGTTATGTGAAGTTGCTCAAAGGATGTGTGCTCTTTGTCTTTCCTTCTTCTTTTTTCCTTTTTTCTTGTGATTAAGGTAAGGGAAGCTCTTAGATCTTCTTTGTTAAATTGTTTTATTGAATCCTTGCTTGAATTGTGCATTGTCATGGTTGTGTTGATTGGATTTAAGGAATGAAATGCTTATGTTTTGAGCTTTTGTGGGTTTTTTTGAAGAAGTTGAGGAGAAAGTGTTGATTTGGAATGGTTGTTGGTTGCATGCTAAAATTTATGGTATATATGAGTAGCTCATGATGTGTAGTTGTGATTTTTGGTGTTGCATGTTGCTTTGGATTGAATTTCAGGCAATGAGAGTCAAAAATCATGATTTTGCCAAATGCAAAAATCCCCATTGCATCGAATGCAACTTTATGATGTCTAGCGTGAGATAAGTTAAAGGCTCTCTACCTCACTGATGTTAGACATGGATTGGTAGTGTCAGGTGTGAGTTAGTGAAGAGCTCTCTAACTTGGTCATTGTCAAGATTGATATTATGGTACTTTGCGAGTCCAATTATTGAAAAATCCTTATTAAGTATAGTTGTCTCTTGAAGTAGAGTGTAGAGTCTCCTATAGATCCTTAATTGATACAGTGGAGGAGTCAGGTTGAGTCATACTGATTATAAACGACCAATGTGGAACTGTATGGGGGCAAGATCGAACCATACGTGCATGAAATGATCAATTGAGTAAGGTATGAGATCGAGAGCTAGAATTCCTAACTAAGTATTAAAAAAAGGTGTAGTATTTGGAAGGTAGTCAACAAGCTAAAATTCCATGTAAATTTAGTTATGCATGCTAAGGTCGTGATAGGCTCACACCCAAGTTGTTTTACCCTCATCGCGATCTTGGTTGCGACGGATGGAAAAACAACCCCTAATAGGAATATTGAATTTTTTTAGTTTAAGTGACGAAATCTGAGAAATCATATTGTGTTGTAGATTAATATACAAATTTATTGTTGATCTAGCAAGTCCTAAAAGGTTGCATTGTTAAGTTGGTTTAGTAAGGTTAAGCTACTTAGACTACTCACTTATGTAGTAAACGATCTCTTAATTGAAATATGTGATGATGCATCATGTTGTTGTTGTGTTCATATGTTGTGAAATTGATGTGTGTTGAGGGTTGATATTTGTTGTTATGTTGTAATGTTGTTTAAGTTGTTGTGTTATTAAATAGTTGTCTTGTGGACTATTGTGTTGATTTTATGTCCTTGAATGAGCTATGTTGTTAACCACATGTTGTGTTGAATAGTCGTATTATTGATATATCAAGTTGGATATGCTATCAAGTTGTAGTTGTATGTTGAAATTGTTAAATGGTAGTTTAATACTTCTATATCCAAGCTTACTCTTACATTTTTTGTATGATTGAATTACAATGATCATACTTGTTATGAGTGCAAAACAAGAATAGGCTAAAGAATGTGCACTTTTCGATAGCCATGCTAGAGGACAACGAGGTTGTTTTGGGCTATTTTAATACAGGTAACTTGTAGTAGTTGTTTGACCAACAATCTAAATTTATGTTCTTAGTTTAAATTACTGTATATATGTATGTGTAGTTTATAGTGGTAGTCTCATTATTGAAGAGCTTACATTTATGTTTACAATTGATGAATTTTACACATATATGCACACATATATATTATTGCATGTATATTCAAACACCATTTATATGTTAACCTTAAATAATTAGAGTTATATTTTTCGTTGCTTAATTGCTAAGTTGTAAAATATAGGGACATATCATGTCGTTACAAAATTCAACTTAAATTCTTATAAATTATTTTTTGGTATATCCATTTTATTTTTCCACAATGCAAGAATCCTTATTTTAATTACAAAAATTGTTTTTAAATGGTTGAACATTCTTGGTTGTAGTTGCTTATATAAGTAATTTCTAGAAGAATTTGATTAAAAAAATCATTTACCTTACTAATATTATTAAGTTGTTTAACTTTAAGAATCAACTTAAGCAATTGCAAAAATTGCATTAGAGTTGCTGTAATTTTCTTTACAATTTGAGGTAATGTTTGTGATAGATTTAGAATTTTTTTTCTTCATATATTTTAATTAAGATTTTAAATGATTGGAACTGAATCAATCCATTCTTTGTCGAACTGGTTTGATATATATAAATTTGTTAAAAAAATTAATCCAAATACAATTAAA